ATGGATCAGTTTGCGCTGCTGACTTCTTTCCATTGCCATTGTTATCTATCTATCTATCTATCTATCTATCTATCTAGTTTTTTTTCAATGTATCTATCTATCTACCATTTCAGTATTTTTCGCTGTGTTGTGTTTTTAGATGAAGCTGTAGGCATATGAATGTTTTCTGTAGCGTATCCAACACAGGCACTAAATGGAGTTTAAATCTGGTGAGTGCTCTAATTAACTGAGTGTCTGGGAAATTATCGACTTTTGTGACAGTTTTCCTGTTCCTGTGCACGGCGCGCGATAAATTCTATTACTGGAACAATCTCTTCTCATAGGAGAATAATGGCAATCATAAAGATTGGCGAAATGTTTGTAATCAGATCTATGTCCTCCTCTGTCTATATTTCTGAGATGAGGTATTATGTACATCATTTACACTATTCGAACTATTGTCCTGATCTTTGTCGCCATATTTATTACAACGTTTCGGCCGTTGTACTCTCCGGCCTTCTTCAGGTGGTTGGAATGTCGAATGTGACACCGAAATCCGAAGAAGCATTGAAATATCAAAAAATGCTTTCTAAAATCTAAGCAAAGTATGAAACTACAGGAAAATAGTAGCAACAAAAACAAAAGATAAACATATCTGTCTACATTTCTGAGATGAGGTATTATGTACATTATTTACATTATTGTCACTATTATCCTCATCTTTGTCGCCATATTTATTACAACGTTTCGGCCGTTGTACGCACCGGCCTTCGTCAGGTGGTTGCAATATCGAACTGAATCCTTTATTTCGCTTGCTTGGGTAGACTGTTCTAGTTCCACGTGCCATGTTTAATGGATGTCAGTTATCAGTTATCTGTGTTAACTTCCCTCTGAAAGTTCTCCACTGCTTTAACCGGGTATTGAACTTACACTCTTTGGGTCCTGTCACTGTGTCTAACCAACGCCTTTATTCACTGTGCAATGTGTCCTTGTGGATATCTGGGTATGAATTTCTGGGTATTATTAACCTAATGTCTCAGCAACCATTTTTACCAGTGCTCATATTGCAATTTTTGCTGTTATCATTTCAAGTTTTTCCAGAGCTAATATTACAACTTTTGTTGTTAGTATCGCTTTTCTCTGACACTCCTTATTACTGGTTCCCATATTGTATTCATTTCTATGCTTGGTCGGCTCAGGAGATTTTTGTGGCCTAGCATATGTGCTGATTCCTTAAGTTTACGAATTTTCCAATGGTGTTCTTTGTCTATGATCTCAACCTGATCCCACACAGGGGGTCTATAGAGAAGGGTGATCATTAAGGCATTAGGGGACTTTCAGAGTGAAATTAACGGTAGATAACTGATAACTGACATCTATTAAACATGGCACGTGGAACTAGAACAGTCTACCGCCAGTATCTATGAGTTGAAAAAGCCGACAATTAAGACTTCTGGTTCGAAATAGCTATTCGAATAAAGCAACTTTGGATATTTATTCTATGTAATATATATATATATAATGTATGTTTCATTAAATAATATAGACAAGTTTTGTTTATTTATTTAAACCAAAATAGTTTATAAATTCAAGTGCACTTTGGGAGATTGTGTCTGCAATGGATTAAATAAAATTTATGCTGGTCACACCACAAACTCGCTTTCACGACGCTTGACTCTACATTTGAATGATAACTCTAACATTTTTAGGCATTTAAAACAACATGCCTGGCCGCGTATACAATTCCGGAAAATCCTTGTTGAAAACACAACTATACTTAAACATGAAAACAATAAACAAAAATTCTAGAAGCTATATACATAAAACAGCTGAAACCTAACCTGAACGAAATAAGCTATGAAATCTTCACCAATATTCTTAAATGCCTTTAATTGATAACAGAAGCCATTGGTTTATACCAACAGCTTCCTATACTTAATAATACTCGTTTTCATTCTCGCGTGGTCATGTGTGACGTCACGAGCTGCGACGCGATTTTCACTTCCGCGTTTCGTATACACGAGTTAGTAGTTGCCTTTAAATTTTTAATGCAACAAAAACAAATTATTGTTTCGTCCGTGTATTGGTTGATATATTGACAAGTAATTGTCATCTTTGATAATGGCTTAAGTAAGCCGAAAGCTTAGATTGGATTTAAACATGTATCAATATGGTGATTTCCTTTCGTCTTTCATTGGCAATGCTATTAAGCTTATCAGACAATATGAAAGGAACTTATTTAAAATAAATAGACAAAACTTGTCTATATTATTTAATGAAACATGCATCAATGAAAAATTGTTGCCGAAATATATATATATATATATTATTAATTAATTCATCGAGGCTAGAAGAAACCTCAACAGAATGCAGAAAGCACAGGTCGGCCGTTTCGTCCTCTTTTGTGGACTCATCGGCAGTGCGCATCCACTTCGTCACCGCCCTAGACCTGTTGGTCTAGTTGGTATGACGCTTGCGTCCTATTGTAACGGGCCGGGTTCAGCTCTCGGTCGTATATGCGCACTGCTGATAAGCACTAAAAATATCACGGAACGGCTGTCCAGTGTTTTTGCATTCTGTTCAGTATTCCTCTAGACTCAATGAATTAATTATGATTATTCAAATCCTCCTAATAATATATATATATATATATATATATATATATATATATATATATATATATATTATTCCCGGATCATTTTCAGCTTAGCCAAGATGATATTCGCCTCTCTAAATTTCTAAATGTCTATCTTTCTCAATCCCTTTCTGTCTCTCTATCTCTGTCTGTCTGTCTGTCTGTCTGTCTGTCTGTCTCTCTCTCTCTCTCTCTCTCTCTCTCTCTATATATATATATATATATATATATATATATATATATATATATATATATATTAGGATATTAAAACAACATGTAAAAATCGCCATATATATCACAAAAGAAATAATTTTTACAGACATGTTTAATTCACTGATGGACTTTGTCAAATCAAATAAGATTTCAGTTTGACCTATGAAATATCGTCTTCACACACACACACATGCACACACACACACACACACACATATATATATATATATATATGTATGAAGAAAAATATACGGAAAAAATAAACAAAAATCCTTATATGCAATTATGCTGTTTTAAATGTTAATATAATGTCAACGTCGGACGTTTCGGTCTTATAAACCATCTTCAGGACAGATTCATAAAATATAATTTATATTATCAATTCAATATGACAAAGACGATGGACATAAGAACGAGACTTATCTTCATACTGTCGGATCTATATCCATATATTTGCTTACATATATATATATATATATATATATATATATATATATATATATATATAGTAATATTATAAATAGTTATACTCGTTGGAAAATCTTAGGTATATTGGCTTGTAAATGAACAAACCAATACCCAAGGAAAAATAAGGAATAGAAAAAAAAAAGAACTAAGAACATGTAATTGAGGCGAAAATAATCGTCCAGAATCCAAGATCAGAGTTCAAAGAAAAAAAAACCAAACCGAGTAAAGAAAAAGTAACCAAATGCTCAGTAGAGCAAACTTAGGTAGGCTCTTTGGGTTCATTATATATATATATATATATATATATATATATATATATATATATATTACATGAATCATTCATAGAACAAGTAAATTAGTAAAGTTTCGGGATAACATCTGCGATATTACTCTATTTATTGAACAATTTAGTTCATGCCATATTGACCGATAATCTCCTGCAACAAAAAAATTCTCAAATTACCATTTTAGTAAAAAAACGCACTCTCTTAAATTTTCAAAAAAAAATTCAACCTTAGCTTTGCGACTGAACGTCCCAAAATTTCTTATCCGTTAACAATAACAAATTTCTAAAAAAACATATTTCGATTAACATTTAATCTTTCGTCTCCCGCTGCTACCTGGATTTACTAAAAAAATTAATTTCCATGCCTGAGGATGGCTGTAAGTATAGCGGAAAGTACTAACAAAATAAAAAGAAGACTTTATACAACTTGAAATTATTAAAAACAAGGATCATAACATTCATCAAGTGGTTCGTAGGTTAATGTAACTTTATTAAATTTGTTTGCGAAGATGTATTTGGCCATTTATATCATTAACTTTACTAATCTACTTTTTATATGAATGATTCATGTAATATAAATTGAACTGCACCACATATATTTATATATATATATATATATATATATATATATATATATATATATATATACTATTATATAAACATTTTTATTGGATACCCATATTTGAGTAGACAATCCTTTTATTTATTAAATATTATATTTATTTTCGTCTACCGATTTGAATATTTGAGAAATCTTCTTAAAGAACAATATGCACTCTTCGACATTTAAACCAACGACCCCCTTGGCAGGAGAAATGTATATTTTCTCTAATAAAAAAAGGCCAGTAGACGAATATAAATCTACTGCTCAATAAATAAACGGAACGTCTACTCATATATGGATATCCATAAGAATACCTGGATTTTGATTCTTGAGTGTATAAATTAGGATATTTATGTGGCGTTCAATATTCAACACATGCTTAATGGGGGTTAAATCTGGTGAGCAGGCGAGTTAAAGGAATACTTCTAACTAGCCGACTGTTTCTGAAACATGTTTGATACCTTCCGTGCAAGATGTCGTTGATGACTTGTTCTCGCCTCATGAACGAAAATTCCTATTTCATATTGAAACAAATTTCCATGCAATATAAATTAATTTGCCTAGAGATTTAACATTGACGCGTACATTTAATTAAGCGCTGTCAGGAAATAATTACTTGAAATATTTCGATTAGGCTGTTTACATTTTAAAAAAAGTTTCGCGGTTATTTTGTCATAATTACAATAAGCATTAATGACTTAATTACAATTAAAACCGAGTGAGCCAAATTGATGATTTAATGAAATGTTTATGGCCCAACTCGTTCTTCATATATACGAGGGCTGATCAAAAAGTATCGGAACTAGACCTATGAAAATAAAACTACAACATATATCAATTCAGCATTTAATCTCCTTCGAAGGAGTCCCTTTCCGGAAGCCACGCATTTTATCCAGCTTCGTTTTTCTTAGTGGAAGCATTCCTGGG